CTTTTCCTATTATTAGCTTTATGAACCTGTGCCTCAGTTTTGTCCTCTGCAAATTAGGGATAATAATAGAATATATTCATAGGACTGTTTCAAGGAGTCTGTTAAGGAGTGAGTTAATAAAGTAAGGCACTTAGAACCATACTGGCACATAGTAAACATTGCTCAAGTATTAGAAAATTAAATTGGACTTGGCCACAGTGCTATAAGAGAGAACCTGTATTTTCAAGGATTAAAAGTTAAGATTTCAAAGGCATGAGATTTGAAACTCCTTTATGATGGAAAGAAAGTAATGCACTCTCCAGTAAAGTACACAAACAATACATACCCACACAGTTCTGCATATAACTATAGGATGTTCAAAGACCCCTGGCCTTCATCCATCAACCAGGCTAAAGTACCCTGACTTAACAAAAAAAAGGCTATCAAGAAAGAAAATGGTAAATAATAAATAGCCTAGATAATTGATGTTCTACTGATATTTCAGACAAGGGAATAATACTTGCAGGATAAGCTCTCAGAGAAAGTAGAATTGGAATGAAGCAGGAAAACAAACACAAAAACAAACAAAAAACACCTCAGTTCAATTAAAAAAAAAATGAGGGTCATGTGTATATGCTAAAAAACCTTTCATTCCAAAGACAGTGATTGTCTGCCCAAATAAGAATTTGCCTACAAGCAAGACGTTACAAGAAAATAAATATTTCAGTGGTTGAGGAGAGGCTCTATTGTTGTTGTTGTTGTTGTTGTTGTTGTTGTTGTTGTTGTTGTTATTATTATTATTATTATTATTATTAACCTGGCAGAGTAAAAAGAACCAAACACTAATTGCAGAGAATTTGCTGGTGTCAGTGTTCTGTGACTCGGTGCCATTTCTGAGCTGAGCAGTTATACACTTTTTGACTGATGCATTATCATAATGGCTCTCGGTGGGCACAACATATGGTGTTAATTTTGTTTTCAACATGATATAAACCATATCCTTTTCCCCCCACTGTATGAAAAATAACACACCATGATTTGCCTCCTTCCTTAGTCAGATAAGGAGAGGGCAGGACCGAAAACTTCACTGATTTCCTTCTGTCTTCCTTAACCAGATAAGTTGCATTTTAATTAGTAACTCTCTCAACTAATGCCTGGCTACTACATTTGCAGGAAAACAAATTTATTACTATGACATTATTTTAGTGTGAGATATTCCTCATTTAAAAAAAATCCACCTCTTCTTATTTCTCTTCTTTTTCATCTGCAAATCAAATCTTTTCTCTTTATAATCAGGAACTTCTGCTTGTTATAAATAAATGAGTATTTACTGAGCTGGGCTAATTCTTTTAAGGATCCTTAGCAACCAGAGGAAGACCTCTCTTCGCTTGAGCAACATGTATTCAAATGGGCTGACCAGTAAAATACTGTCATTTAATTCTGATTTCAGTTTCTCTTTCTTTTCCTAGTTTCTCTTGCCTATGCTTCATTGCTTTTGTTTGCCTACTTCAGTGTGCACTGTGTGCACTGTGTTGTGTGTGTGAATATGTGTATCTTCTTTATTGAGTCTTTTATTCCTGTTTATTAAATCCACCTTCAGATATCCAGCACTTTCTATATTCTCTGACTTCATGTCTATCATGTGGTAAGTTTTAGTTAAAACATGTTCTCTTTTTTGGATGGACATTCAGAACTAGTTGTAGTTAGGCTATTACAAAGCAGGAACAATAAACAACTATTCAGTTCCATTCAAATACATTCACTGGCTGTTGTCTTCTAGGTGCCGAAGGCTTAGCAAAGATCTGGGGCTAGAAATGAGAGGCAGAGCCCCCTGCTCTCCAGGAACTCCCCTTAAACTCCCCATGTGCCTCTGTTAGGAAACTTGGCACACTACTGAAAGTGTTTACACATCTAATAGATTAGGAGCCTTTCAAAGGTAGAGGAAGAGTAATAGTCATCTTTGCAACCTCAGAGCCTAGCAGTGACTGACAGTAGGCGATCGGTAAAAGCTGAATGAACCAAATCTACACAATGACTATGCTGTTGAGAGTGCAGGCTGAATATGCTGAACATACCTGGCACCTTAACCAAGCTAGGTGCCATGCACAATTAAATATAGAATCTCACCCTATATTCCATTATCTTACAATCTAATAAACTGCAAAAATGGGTATCCATATGGTGCTCACATAACTAAGTCAGTCAGTCTTTTCAGAGAAATAACTTGTCAGTTCAGTGACAGGTCAGTTTCTGGCTGGGTTGGACTAGCAGGAGCCTTAGCTGTGAGGCATTTGTAAGATGACCCTTTAGAGCAAGAGGTTAATACACATATGCCATTATCTGCTTAGATGAGATGCTGGCTCAGTGAGGGCTCTGAGACATTTACTTTAGTAACTAGTTCTAGGCTTGGCCGACTCTGTCTGCAGTGAGTGGTCGGTTTGCCGCCCTGCAGTGAGGCTATGGATGACAGTATTGCCCTGAAACAAAGGATGCAGGCTTCTGCACTTCTAGGGAATTTTGAAGCAGATTCCATTTAGAAAGTGACTCCAACATACCTGATAAAAAATGGTTCACTGAACCATTTTGGTGTCAGTGTTCCAAGTTTTAGGGTACTGTTCAAGTTTAAGGAATGTTTCGTTGGGCCAGTGTAGAGAGTGGTGTTTCAAGAGTTATAGTTTGGACTAAGAAGGCTGCCTAGGGCAGTGGTTTTTATGCAGGCTGAAGTGGGAAGCTGATCCGGCACCTCAGGTGACCTAGGGAGCTTTCTCAAACTTGTCTGCTCTCCGTGGACTGGTCTGGCAGACAGGGATTGGAGGTGACATCATCAAATGAAAAAGTGACTAATCAAAGTGTGGATTCATCCTATACATGTTGATTGACAATGATACAAGACAAATCTGATTGGAAAGTTCTTGTGATTACATTTGTTTTCAGTGTTGGAAATTGACCATGATCCATTTTTCTAAAAGTTGACCCAAATCTATGTCTGGGCTTTATGAATGCAACAAAGTAATTGTTTCTATTTTTGAAAAAGGAAACTGTAACCAATTCCACATACCAAGGGGCTAATAGAATTTATCTCAGAGAAATATATTGTTGTTAAGATAGTTTTATAGGTGTACAGGTTTATCTAGGTCAAGAGAGGTAGAGCAAAAAGTAGTTAAATGGCTCTGTATAACAAGAGGGGCACAAGGGGGGTGTGAGGAGTCAGTACTTAAGGAAAAGCACTGAGCTAAGAAGATATGGGTGAGGTCTGAGAGAAGTTCTGAGCAGGTGCAAGAAAACTGGGTCCTGACGGAGCAAGAGGAAAGCCAGAATAGCCACTCTTTTTTGATGCTGAATTGTGTTTCTGCTGTTCTTCCTCCTCATAGATCTTAATATCTTCCAAAATCAAAGGATGGTGCTTTGGAGAATGAAGGAAGTAGGGCTATGTCCACGGTGGGACAAAGCAGAACAGGATAAGAAAAGATAACTCAGTACATGTAAGGTTTGGAGATAAGAAATCAGAAGTTGAAGTGGGAGCAGAAATTTGGAGGAAACAGTGGCTGGCAACCATCAGGAGCACGTAAGCAGGACCCCCAGGAATCCTCGGGAGTCATGGGGTGAGGGATGAACCACCCAAGTAAGCTGAGATGAGGCCTCCAATCACTTACTCTGGGTTTGTAAGAGTTAAGTATGAGCCCGTAAGACTGGGGAATCTAGAGACATGCAGGCTACACTAAGTTGATGACAAAATCAACATACTTTAAAATTTATTTCCCCTATCAGGTAGAATATTTTCTTTAACTGCAAAGGAAACTATATTGAACAAGGTGGGTTTAAAAATTGTTTTTTACCTATACTTAATTAATTTATTTACTTAACAACTTTCCTGATAAATAGAGGCAATAAAGTATGACTTTTAGCCTTAGGAGAGAAGTGGAAAATTCAAATTAAATACCTAAATCCATTTTCTCCTTTTGCTAAGTGGTTCTTTAAAGATAATATGTAATATCTAAAGATAATATGTAATATTTCTTCTATAGCTGTATAATCTCTTCTAAGAAAGCAGTACATATGGTAAAGGAAGGAGGTCATTAGTGTCCTTTTAATAACTTGACAGCTGTTATTTGTTGCATTCTTCTGTCTAGGAACCATATCTATTGACAGTTTCCCTCTTTGGGACACCTGTCTCCCAGACTGTGTACAGTAATGAAATTATAAACTGCATCCTGAAAAAGTTAGTAAAATATTTCCACCATCAAACTACAGAATGAATAATTTTTGACCCACATTTTTAAATAAAAAGCTAACTGGTTTTTGAGCTTTTACTTCTTTTCTTTAATTTTCTTCCCCATGAATGTATGTATATATGTATGTATGTATGTATATAGTACATAGGAGCTACATATATGTGTAGATGCCATATAACATAGGTATGGTTATCCAGAAATAGCCCTTGCATAAACTGAGACTCATGGGCCAGACTCACATCACCAGGAAGTGCCTCAGCATCCTCCTTTTCATGTGTCATCATGCATTTCACTGGACCTGCATTGGTTTACACATATCCTAATGCCAATGAACATGGATTCGATTAACTTCTTCATGATGTGGTCAGCAGAATACTGTATCCATAAGGACAATGAGTCGATTCGTAGTTGCTTGTAGACCACTCATAGCCACTTTCTAAACCTCAGACTGGCCTTTTCTTGTTGGTAGGCATATACTCACAGAAAGCTGCTTTCTGACACTCAAATACTTAACTTCTGAAAGTATTTAAGAATAAACCAACTATAAATAACAGTGGATCTGGATTTAATGTGAAATATATTCTAAAATCAAACATATATGACTTCTGGATGAATTGCTGCTTCTGCCTGCAACACAGTTTCTCTGTTGTTGATACAGATTATCAAGAATAGACTGCCTTCAGTATTTGTAACTGGATTTATTTTTGTATTCCTAAACACAGTACAAAGTGCTTTACCCAAGTATCTTACTTTAGAGAGAGGTTAGTGGGAAACATCCAGTTTATATAAGCCCTTCTAAATAGGAAGATAGAAGTTTCCCACATAAATGGGTATTTTTAACTAACCTGAGAAAAATAGTGTATCAAATTTTTGCTTGGAGGAGAGGTTGCGTACAGGAACTCTGACTTGCCAAACTCCCACATGAGTTCAAATCCAAGATTATAGGCAACAACTGTGTTTGCCATCCCTAAAGCCATTCCTCACATTTAAGAATAAATGAATTTTGTGACATGTGGTTTTTGACTTTGAGGTCTGGTATAAGCTTAGAAAGATAGCTATTGTAAATCTGAAGTCACCCTGCCTAGCATTGCATGGACAATCCATAAAGACTGCCAAATGAAAGAAGTAATGAATTAATGAACTCAACAGTGTCAGTGTTTCATTTGCTGATCTGTTTGCTTATGTTCTCTGTGTGGGACTTATTGTATCACTGGAAGCAATGTGACATGATCAAATGCCTTCTTTGGGAAATAACACAATAATACAAAACAAAACAAGTGAATCATTTGTGGTAGTTATTTGAGAAAACCTATAATGAACAACATTGATAATGGCTCTAGAAATGTAAATTAATCAAATATGATAGTGTCCCAAATAATTAAACCTTTATTTTATTTATTAATAAACACCACAGAGGGGAGACATTCAAGGGACAAAAAGGAGGTAAGTAGAAATATTTACTATTTTTAGTCTTATTAAAAAATTCCTGTCAGTTGTGTTTGCTGTATTTTATATTAAAAAAGAATTTATATGTAGATGGCTAAGACAGATTTTCCCAAGAGGAAGAAGAGACATTTAATTCCACTAGAATCCCTGAATTGAGAGCTGTTGTGAAGGACTTTCCTAATACGGTGTTAATTAATTGACTATGATCAGAAGCCAAGTCAAGAATTTCCTAATGAAGATGAAATATACCAGCTGCCTTCAAACACATGCATCCATGTATACATGCAATATTGCCGTTTTAAAATTCAAACTGAAGGAAAATAACTTACCTGACACAAGAACAATGAGAATCTTCGCACTGGTAGCTAAGAGACCATGGAAGAATTTCAGGGTGGCTGGGATGTCTTCTACATAATACAGCATCTAGAAATGAAGGAAAAGAGAAACGAGACGCTCTCCTGTGTCCGTGTCTTTGTTGCTTGGACTAGATACTCACTAGAAGGTTTGATTTTCAAGTTGAGTGGGTTTTTACTCAAGACACTTAAGAAATTTAAAAGTTAGAGATGTTATGTAGAGGAATAGAATAACAAAAAGGGAAAATATTGGGGGAAAGGCAAAACTATGATATTTACTCAACTAAAGTCACAAAGTTTTAAAGTCACAAAGTTCTGGCTTCAATAAGAGACATTTCTAGCTGGAGACACTTAGTCTCCACTCCACATGGGGGCATCGATTCCATGCTTACTCTATATTTTGTGAATTGCAGTTCTTCTGGGAGAAAATGGTCCTGGCACCATAAACAGAGACCCCATTTCATGGAACGTTGCTTTAAAATTAAGCCCTTTGCACTAGCTTCACCATATGCTCACAGATGCTTTTTTTAAATCACAGAAAATGTGACAGGCTTTGATGTTGACAGATTCTTTAGGAAAACAGACTGGATAAAGCATGAGTTTCATGTATGGTCATAAGGTGCTAGGAGTCAGCCCACCCATTTTTTAATAATTCCGGACCATCTCTGCTGAAATGCAGGGAGAGACCTTTCAACCTAGCACAGATAGAACTTGGAATTATACATTGGCAGTGGAAAATTTTCCCTAATGGCTTACATCCCTGGAACCTACTCCTGCAGACATGTACTTCTTATATCTCATCTTCAGCTCTTTTGGATAAGAATTCAATATTTTATGTAGATGCCATGATGGAATTTATTGCATAAAGCAAAAGCAACTTAAGCTATGCCCGTCTCACATGGATGGATGAAATACAGTGGCCCTGCACATAGTCTGCCCTGCCTCGGGGGCCATTTTTGGTATCATTTCATTCCTTGCTGTTGACCACAGGGACTGTACACAGATAGGCACCCAGATGCAGCTAATCTGTGAGGTGGCTGACAAGCTATGACATGACCTGGCTGAAAAAGAGGAGGCGAGTCATAGCAGATGCTCTGAAATTTGATCTAATAGTCTCAGATTCTCTGCAGCTGACTGAATATTAAGTTGAAAGAATGTCATGAGAGTTTTAGGACTAAAAGGACCAATAAAGAGACAGAGACATACCCCAGAAAAATGCGAAGTAGACGGAAAGGAATAGAGGAGTAATACAGAGGAAGCAGCATTGTGGTGAGAAGGAAAGAACAGAAGTTTCGAGAGTAACTGTAGAGTGATCTCCAAAGCTGCAACATACTCTCTGTAAACTTTCAATCCTACAAAAATTAATGAAGCCAGCAGTGAAAAGAAATCAGTAACCATAGAGGTATTTGGAGTAGAGGAAACTGGCTTTTTGAATCTTACAGAGAATCTCTTAGTATTGTCAACAACCTTACCCTTAATTTGGATAATGCTCACTTGTAAAATCAGAAATCAGACTTTTATTTTTCTTTTGAAGTAAACTATTAGGCACTCTTCATACGTACTTCAGAAAAAACTTTTATCTGAGAGTATGTAACAACAGATATTTTTTTACCTGAATCATATGAATAAAGTCATACTTCTGAATTTCTTTTTTCTCCATCATTCTATTTTGATATTCAGATGATGTCTCCTTATGCCAAGTAAACTTTATGTTCTCAAGGTTTGATGTCTTGGCTACAAGCTCTAAAATACAGAGAAAAGGTGGCACACCATCAATTTTAATTGCAAATTCGGAACCCATTTCCATTTAGAATTTTAATGCAATCAATGTTATATACATAGCAGATATAAAGCACATTTTTCTCCTTTATGTACCTCCAGAAGACCAGAGAGTTCATCCTGGTTTTTCTCTAGTATTAAATGAAATAGGAGATGAATGGAAGAGTCAGTAAGAAATAATGATGAGAATCCTGATCAGACACAGGTTACATTGTCTTAGTATTAATAGGGAATCAAGTGGTCAATTTTATCAATGAAAAGCTGATATAAAACAGGTGACGTGATTCTGTAACCCGGGAATCAGCAAACCACCACCCATGTATCACGTCTGGTCCGCAACCTATTTTTAAATAGGCTGAAAACTAAAAACATGCCCTCTTCTACTTCCTGACTTCATGCCTCTATCTTTCATATCTCGTACCATTTACACTTTTAAATGGCTGAACAAAATCAAAAGGAAGAATAATACTCCATGATAGGTAAAAATGATATAAAATTCAAGTTTTAATGTTTATAAATAAAGTTTCATTGCACCATGCCCACACTCATCAGTGTACGTATTGTCCAGGGCTGCCTTTGTGCTTCAGTGGCAGAGCTGCGTAGTTGTGACTGAGATCATGTGGTCTCTAAGTCTAAAATACTTCCATTTGGCCTCTTGCTGATTCCTGCTGTAACCCATTAAACTTAAGCTCTTTAAGGGCAGGGATCCTGTTTCACTTCCTCCGAATGAATTAATGACTCCATCTCTAAGAAATAAATAGCAAAAATAATAGTTGATGACCAGGGGATAGATGGAGAGTCAGTAACAAGAGGATTCTATTCACCATTCATATTCTGAGGTGTTTAGTCATGCCTGCCAAGAAAATAAATTAATTGGGTTCTTCTCCGAATAAGCTTACAAAGAACACACCACAGTAACCATGTTGTTAGTGACTGAAGGGACGCACTTGGGATGACACGCTTTTCAGAACAGGATTTGACATACAGCACCAGGGATTCAGGTACCTTTGTACTTGGTGATTTGTTCAGCACTCGGTTCAACAACCTCATTGCTGATACGAACTCCTGGGTGCTGAGCCTGCGCTTCTGAGAGGATTTGAAGATCAATTTCACCTACAGAACAAGCATACGGAACAGATCACCTCAGTCCAGAAAGAAATGATTAAGAATAATTTGAACTAGTTTATTATCTCTTGCAAAGCCCAGCATAAATAAAGAATAATTCTCAGCTGCTGCCCTGCCACAATGTCTGTGATGCAGAACAGCTACGTTGTAAGTAGGAATAACAATGTGATTTGAGGAAGGCTATGGTTGCTATTCATTCATTCATCCATTCATATAAATAACCTTAATTTAATATCTATTATTGTGTTACATTAAATCTAAGATGCCATTGATTACAGGATACAATCAACCCTTCTTTTTGTATCACTAAATCAGAAAAAAACACTGTCAATTATAATTTTAAGATTTCATCAACTGGAAGATGTATATCAATTTCAGAGATGTGAAAATATGAAAAAAAATACACCTTACATTTGATTAATTAGGCTGGACCAGAAGTATACAAAAATATGTCAGATATAAAATATGTCAGGTACAAAAAAGGATACAAAATGATATTGGCCATGTGCCCTCAAAAACACCATGGTCTCCTGAAAGAGACAGACTGGAAGGAACAATGGCTTGGTTGGGCCAGGGTGGGAAGAGGGAAGGAGGCAGGGAGGGAGAGACGAGAGCCTCGTGGCAGGAGATGACTCCTGAGCTGTGTCACAGGGTGAGTGGCAGTGAGCCCTGAGACGTCTGGGGAAGTGGGACGTGCAGGTAGAGAGGACAGGAAGTCAGAGGCATGAAGCCAGCAAGCAGAATAGTGTGTCTGAGGCTCCTGGCAATCCAGTTTTGGAATATTAGGCAAGGCAGGGCCTTGAAGCAAGAGCTGCTCCCAGAGAGGTAAATAGAGAGGCGGTTATGGCAGAATAGACATTTGTTCATTAATTCATGCACCAACGATTAATTACTTATCCACTATGTGCCAGGCACACACGAGGCTCTAGAAAATGGTGATAAGAGGAGCAGATACCTGCCATGATGAAAATTTAGCCTGTAAGTGATTACAGGAGAGAGATGGTGGTGCATTGGATAGACTTGAGTTCCAAACCTGTGTGATCCACTTACCAGGTAATATGACCTTCAGCAATTTGCTTTATCTTTCTAAGCTGCATTTTCCTCATTAGAAAAATAGAGATAATAACAGTACATAACTTATCATTTGTGAAGGTTAAATGAGGCCATGGATATAAAGCACAGTGCAAAATAGAGTTGGCACCCAGTAAATGTTAGCTGTTCATTATTTTTATTGTTAACATTGAGTCCCTCTCTTTAAAAATATCTCTTCTTTCCCTATTGCTGAAGCCTTCAAATTAAGTTTTGCACTTTATCCTCTTTGGCTATGATGTTGACCTTCACTAAAATAGACCTCTGTGCTGGCAAGACTAGCATATGAAAATGGTGTTAGTCCTTACCATTTTGGCATAAATGACATTAACAGAATCTTTCCACGGTTATATGTGGTGGGAAACAAGGGCATAGGTCATAAGACTGAGAGGGGGGAAGGAGATGAGGACGATAAATCAGGAACAAAAGATGCAAGACTGAGAGAAGAGGGTGTTCTAATGATAATTACAACCCTAAATACTAGTAATATGAGAGGGTGGGGAGCTGGCGGGCGAGAAGGAGTGGGAAGGAAGCTGAAATGGAGGATGAAGGAGTCTAGGTGGCAGTTTTCTGCAAAGCTGGCTCCACCAACATGAAACCTTTAATTCCTTCCTTAATAATAATGCTAGCAGTCATTTACTGGCCACTTATTATTTGTTAAAACTGTGCCAGGCACTTTACTTGAAACATCTCACTTAATCTTGACCATGATGCTATCACAAACTCCATAGTATTGTTCCCAACCAGTAAGGTGATTTGAGTACTCTGACACTCAGGGGACAATAATGTGTCTAAAGTTTAAGGCATTTGTCTGACTCCAAAGTGTGTGTTCTTCTACTAAGAAATAGGAAAATAACAAATACTGAAAGGATAGAGGAAGTTTTTCTTTTTCTCTACAGTAATTATTTTTTAAAGGGTTAAAAATAAGATAACTAAGGCAAAAGGCCGATGAGAAAATCTGCAGGCTAATGAGAAATAGAGAGATTCCAGCTCACCCCAAAGGAGCAGAGGCCAAAAGTTCTGTTCTTGCGTCTGTCAGCCTCTATCAGCCTAGCCATATATTTTAAATAAAAAATCATCAATTCTGGAAACCTCAAATCTAAGATTTTAAAACTCATGCAGTGGAAATGCAACAATTTTCCTGAGTTCAATGAGTTCCGCTAAGGTGGACCCTGACATCCGGGATCTGCCCAAATAGCAGATTGTGTCCCACAACTCCCAGGGATGTTCCTGTCTTGTCACTTCACCAGCCTGCAGAATGTTCTATCACAGTCGGAGCCAGCCTGTCCCTCCTCCTCGGGCAATGACAGGACACAATGCTAGAACTGCGGCTGAGACACGGAAACCACGGGTTCACGTAACAGCCCGTAGAACGTGAGCCTTCTGTGCATTCACTGCTGGATCCCTAGCAGAAATGGATAAACCACAAGAGGAGATAAAGAAATTATCTTCTCAGGAGTTACCAAGTAGAATCCAGTTCTGACTTCATAAGTCAGGGGACGTACTTCTTGTTTGCCAGGGACGGCTGAGCTTTGTGCTCATTTTGCTGATGTCTCATCTGGTTTTGCTTCTTATCCCAAAGTTCTTTTT